AGCGACAAAATGGTAAGCTAACTACATTGATTATATATGTTGATGACATGATAGTGACTGGTGATGATCAGAATGAGGAGATACAACGCCTTCAAAAGTACCTAGCTACTGAGTTTGAGATGAAAGAATTATGTGAATTGAAGTATTTTTTTGGAATCGAGGTTGCACGATCTAAGCATGGTATTTTTCTGTCTCAACGAAAGTATGTTCTTGATTTGTTAGCTGAAACATGTATGTTAGATTGCAAACCTGTTGATACTCTGATTGAGCAGAATCATCGTCTGGGCTTATTTCCAGATCAAGTTTCTACTCATAAGGAACAATATCAGAGGCTTGTGGGGAGATTAATTTATTTGTCTCACACTCGCCCTGACATTGCTTATGCAGTTAATGTGGTAAGTCAGTTTATGCACTCACCTAGTGAAGCTCATATGGATGAAGTAACCCGTATTTTGAGGTACTTGAAGATGGCTCTTGGCAGAGGCTTGGTTTTCTCCAAGAATGGTCATTTGAATATCGAAGGGTATACAGATGCAGATTGGGCAGGTTCTATCACTAATCGGCGATTTACATCTGGATACTTTACGTTTGTAGGTGGTAATTTAGTTACTTGGAGAAGCAAGAAACAAAAAGTGGTGGCTAGGTCAAGCACAGAAGCTGAGTTTCGTGATATGTCTCATGGTGTATGTGAGTTGTTGTGGTTGAAAAAATTGTTGAGAGATCTTGGGTCTAAACCCAAAGGTGCTATGAAACTTCATTGTGATAACAAGGCTGCTATTGAGATTGCTCATAATCCAGTGCAACATGATCGAACAAAACATGTGGAGATTGATCGACATTTCATTAAGGAAAAATTGGATGCTAGAATTATTATGTTTCCGTTTGTGAGATATGAAGATCAACTTATTGATGCTCTTACTAAGGCTGTGTCTAATAGTGTGTTTTCCAACTCGCTTGACAAGTTGGACATGCGTGACATCTTTGCACCAACTTGAGGGGGAGTATTGCGAGTTATACATTAGTTAAAGTGTAAATAGTAGTTTATTGTCCCATATTGGTGAAGTACATATGTAATATCAACTGTAACTCCTATATATACTCCACTTTGAAGATTAATGAATATATAAGAAATTCTCAAATATTGTCATATATATTTTTGGTATTTACTATGTTGAGTTTAATATTGGTATTTACCATGTTTAGTTTAATAGAGCTATATATATATATATATATATATATATATATATATATATATATTATATATATATATATATATATTTGTAGATAACAATGTTCCTTAATTTTGTGAGAGAATATCTTACTTTGAGGTTAGATCGAAGTAGATCAGACGACGGTGCTGACAGATGGGAATGTAAGAGATGATGACAGAAGAAGAGAAAGCACACTCCCAGCAACGGTAAAGACTCTCCTTAGCCGATGGCGGGTTGTGCTCTCTCTCTTCTGTCAACATATATGAACTCTAACCTCATTCCCCATCTCATCTATACACCCTTAATGCCACAAAACTCATGCATTCATCCCTGCAGAGCAAACCATCAATTAATAGGGTGAGGTAACGCATTCAGGCTCATATAAATCTGATATATTGTATACAATGCATATTAGCATGTCTACTACCCCTTACATACATACATACATACATATACATATATATACATATATATATATATATATATATATAAGCATATCATATGTATAGATACTGGCGCAGTTGTAGAAGAGGTATTTAATGGCACAAACCCGGTTTAGTGCAACTTTCGGTCTCGAAGTCAGATTTTGGCCCATGAGTTGCGGGGGACAAACAGTTTGTGCCGTGAAACTCCTCTTCTACTCACACACCATACTCTGCATAGATATATGATTTTAAATATCCGTTAATTCATTATTATAAGCATAATTTTTGCTAACAGATAAATAATTAAACATAAGAACTTGCCTCTATATATAGCCAAAAATTAACCATGATCTGGGATTTTTTTTTTCATCAAGCCAATAAATATGTACTGATCATGAAACAAACTGATCAATATCAACATCCATCACCATGAAGGGGTAATTTGTGAGTGAAATCAATACTGAATTTATAAAATTTATATGTATATATAATGTGTTCAGATATGTATTTATATATACCTAATGTATGCATATGCATCAAAAATCAGATTAAAACAATATATCTACTTATCACAGGAACTACTTCATACAAATAAATATAATTTATCATGACAGTTTAATCAAAACACTGGCTAAAAATTGAGAGAGAGAGAGAGAGAGAGAGAGAGAGAGAGGAGAGTGAGAATTTTACTCTTAGGGTTCTTCAACTTTTGCTTAGCTGGTCATCAGATACGATTTTCACTGCAGAAACTACTAGTTTCTCTTCACTTTCCATGAAAGATAAAGAGGAAAGAAGAAATAAAGAAGTAGATAAAAGCAGAGAACAAGTGTGGGAGTGAGAGATACGTATAAGCTACAAATTCTATACCTCAATGTATCAGTTGTTGATGAATAGTGTTCATCTTATAGGGACCTGGCCGCTGACTATAACCGGTGACTTGTAGTATGATTTATGACCGTCTAGTGAGCGTAAACTGGTTTCGACACTAGTTTTTATTTTATGATTTAGATGTTGTATTAAACATTATGGATAGCCACCGTTTTAAATATCAATATGCGTGAAAATATCAATATGCAAATTTATAAAAATGTAGGTGGACACGTCGATATCGGTTGCCTTCATAAATATTAAAGAAATTTGCAATGTGTGATATATCTCATTCAGATTTAGTTGAAATTAAAAAAAAATTCATAAAATTTCAAAAGTTTGAAATTTGAAATGAGTTCCCGCAAAATATATGTAGTGTATTAGTAAATATTGTAGATATTTATTGATTTTCTTTATCTTGGTGATATAGGATGAAGTTTGTATTTTACCCCTTCTATATTGATTCTTAATTTTTTTTTAATATTTCAACGAAAATATTGACGATTTGTAAATATTTTAAACACAAGGTAGTATATAGGATTTCAAATATATTCAAACCCAAACGTTACTATTATCCGGAATTAAACTTACATTTTAATTAAAAACAGGCTACCTGATTAACATAACAAGATATAAAATAACACTTCCTTTTTCTCGAGTCTGCAAGCTTATCCGTTTGTACAAATTTGGTGTTAGGACTTGGGAGATTCTTTTCAAACGTGATGAAACTTTTCACTGTCAAAGGACTCAAAGTCGTTAATGGCACCAATAAAATTTAAAATTTAAAATTGTATTTAATAAAGAAGAAAATGACGTTGATAAAGAATAATAAGACCCGTGGTGTAAGCAACGTCATAAATGGGTAACCAAAAATGGTGGGGGTGGATGTTGACCGGCTATTTCAGGTCGGCCGGATCCAAGAAAGGGTCTTTGTTTCTCTCTCACCTCACCTGACATCACCCGTGATAACCGATAAACTCGTCGCTTTCGCGACTGTGGAGAATATCGAGACCGTTGAGTGGTGCCACGTGGAGGACATGCACGGGTGGTAGGCTGGTGATTTGGGATATGAACAGTGACTACCTTCCTCTCATGAATTTTGCATACTTTAGTTTATTATCTTATTTTCCACGCCGAAACTTTATATTAAAAAAATAATACATTTGTCAAAAGTGCACGATAAAAATTTTTAAAATGCAAACAACAGTGTACTAATTATTAGATCGGTGCCATGCTAATCTCTATGATTTAGTGAAACTCTTCGTAATACATTGTTATTAATATACCAAATCAAATCAAAATTTTCATTTACAATTCAAACATATTACTTTTACCACATTTTCATACTATATTTGTACCATCTTTATAATAAAAAGGGGATCTATATGTGTCGGTTGGTCCTACTTCTATTAAAAAGTGGTACGAATAATATGATATGAAAATTATAGTTAAGTGTAGCATTAGACTACTTTTGCAGACGTTCGTGGTACTGATTTTAATCTTCTACTATAATACACCTAAACTTGTTATTTCATCATGTTATTTATTTTTATTTAAATGAGAAATATTATGTTCGAATCTCATGATTGATTATATTTCCCGACTAATTACCCAGATAGTTTAAATATCGATCGTTGTAATGTCATTGTCCACCCTCTAATTCAAATTAGCAGCATTAGGGAGGTCCATTTAATGGGGTCATCAGCCATGACAAGGAGCTTGAAAGATTAATAGACTCTGAGCATCTTTGATTGGTCAACACTCGTTAGGTCTTATTCTTGTAGCTATAATTGGAGAGATTTTTCAACATATTTGAAATACGAGACTGTACATTACATGACACTGTACAAATGAAAAGATACTTGCAAAACTTAAAATAAAACTTTTGTTTATATATATAATGACATATTATGTACCACCCATGTTTCGAATATATTGAAAAATTACTCAAACTCATGTGAAAATGAATGTTTTCCCTTTTCAGCCACACGTAAAATATATGGTTCCCATAAAAATTCAAAAATCAAGAGGAAGCCTGCAATATTGCTATCAGAAAGCTCCCCTCATCATCTCAGATGGTCCTGGGGAGAGGAATCGATGAATGGATCACAACCGTTGGATCCATTGATTGAAATGTGGGGCCTTCTGCCACGAGACACGTGTTCATGCCCTAGAGATGCAGGTGAAGTTCATGCGCCGATACAGAAGAAAAATGAAAAGGCATGCTGAAAATAATTCAGATATTTTGATGCCTGAGAGCGACCGGAGACATATATCCATTGACGTCACTCGTCTAATCGATATTTCTCATACGTTAAAAAAGTGAACTAATCGTTCATCTTACGTTTAAACCGTGAATCTGCTTGATCGTTATCACAAGTAATGTATAATTTCCAATTAACCTCATTTGTGTTCATAAAAAAGAGTGAATAATCGTAAGTGCCAAAGCCTTGATACAATGGATTCAAGGCAAATGAGATTTGGAAACAACTGGCAATAAATCAAATCAATAATTCATATAAGCATCGGCTAAAAAAATGCCATTTTAGTACAGATAATTACATTTCTTTTCTTCATAATCTCACGTTCCTAACAGCATAACAAAATCTCAGTAAAGTACAGAACCTGCAGATTGCTTCAAGACAATGTCACAATAAGTAGAAACTGTATGAATTAGTTTGAATCACTAAGTCAGCAAAACCTCCAATCCGGGTACTAATTAGTTCTGATTCGATCGCCTTCAGAAGTAATTAAAGTGTCTATGATCTTGTAATGTGAGAGACGCCCACGCAACGGATCATCTTGCGCATTATCTGTGTTACTTCTCAGTTTTTCAGACTTCGAAGCAGGATTCATATCACTTTTCTCATCGAAGATCTCTCGTTTTAGGGTCTCTGATGCTTCCTTGGATTCAACCAATTTAGTTTTCCATTTAATACCAACTGCCTCAGCCTGATCTGCAAACAAGACTTTTGCGCTAGCTGAACTGCAGATTTCTTTGTAAGTTTCATAATTAGCAGCTCGGGTGCTTCCACCTTCCAAAAGTCCCGTGAGGGGATGCAAAACCGAGACTGGACCATCACTTCTCTCTAATGTTTCCTTCAACGCCAGAAATTCAGAGACAAATTTTTCCTTGCTAAACTGAATGAATACTGCAGTTTCATCCAAGTGGTAGACAGACGTGACAGAGGTCGGGCCAAAGACTTTTGTGATGCACTCCCTTATATCTCGTGCCTTGAGTTTTGATGGGAATCCCCAGATTAAAGCAATGTTCTCAAACATAATCTGCGCGTACCTCTTTTTGTGATTATTATACCCCGAAGACATTGCTTTCTTCTTGCCGGTGGTTAAATCAATAATGTCTCCATTACTCCAACTGAGGTATAAAAGGTTGATTTGCTTCTGGAGCTTCTCATTGTGGGGCAACTTTTCAGATGACAAACAAGCCTGAAAATCAATTCCGAGATGACTGCATGTCTGAGCAAAGACACAGCCTGTCATAAAAGCATCGTATCCTGCTTCATGTTTGGCTCCAGAATTCCAGTTGGAGGACCTGCAAATAGATAATCGTGATATGAAAGACTTATTCCTTTGCTTTTCCTTTCATTTGTATATAAACTGCCAATTTTAGTTACATTACTAAAACTATCTTTCTCCATATGTAATGGTTATTCTTTTAACCAATATGTAATGGTTATTCTATGAGAGAGAGCCACGTGGCATGCACAAGTATATACATCTCGTAAAGCAAGTAGAAATAGAAACAAATTGACAAACTTATACGAACTTGTTATCCGACAGATTTCTAAAGTTGGTTGCATCTAAAGAATGTAATGTGTAATTAACCCCGGTCAAAAATGTCATGCCAACCTAGTCGTTTTCAGACAGATCTCTAAGTGCCCTACGCCATTAATGAAAGTTAATGAAAATGCTCTCCTTCATCTGTCGGGTTTCAACTCTATATCTTTTTCCATTCAAACTGTGACAATGGAAACCACTGAGACCAACTAAATGAATTGAGCACGGCCGAGATATCATTATGGACAGAGAATGGAAAAAGCAAACCTCAAATCATCCACCTGAACTTCAACTTTGACACACAATTGGACTTCTGAATCAGTGCTTTTCTTCCCAAGAGCAATTTGCGGGCATAACAAAGCAAATGCTGACGAAAGTGATGTTCTGGACTTCTTCATCCGTTGTTGGAGCACATTATCTGTATTCAACAGTACTTTGGTGTCAATGATGTGTGGAAAATACTTGTTAACAGCAGAGACAAATTCCTCAGCAGTCGAAGGTAGAGGTCCCAAGAATTTGTTGTATATATGGGCAATATCTGTATGACAACAAGAAGACATCTTAGTAATATATAAAATCAAATTGACCTTTTATGAAAGTAACATCAATACTCATACCAAGAAAGCAATTGTGACCAACAATCAACTTTTGTTCTGAGGAAAGAAGGTCAATAACATGACGAAACCCAACTGCAGCTTGAACTTTCACCTCTGCTTCCCTACGATGTTCATCCTTAACCTCTTTCTGCAAAAGATTGCATACAGAAAACTATAATTCCTCCTGAGGTGTAGATGATCATCACATAATAACAAATACACTGACTTCCTTTGGTGATAATTTCTGTTCTCCCTAATGCACCAACAGCATTATGCAAAATTTATGCCCAGATAGTAATTATCATACACACTGCCGTTTGTTTATTAACGAGAAATTAACAGTGTTGAGACATTTTAGTTAAGACTTAGAAGAAGAAGAGAAAGAAGAGTTTCAATATCTCTAATGGTTGTTTCGATGGCTACGATAGAAATCCAGAGAAAACTTGTTGATTGACTTATTGGAATACTAAAAAGTAAAAACAACTCCAGGCCCAAACTCGGACCATCAAGACCTTTAGAAAGTAAATCATTTTCAATAAGAAAACAACCAAATTCTAATAACCGAAAGTCTGAAAACTATTTCACAAAGTAAACATCCTAAGTAGTCTTTCACAGTTGAAGAGCATTTGAAAATTTCACATCATATAAACTGGAGGACACAAATTACTTACCAGAAGCAAATCCCTGTCATCCTTGGAATCTGTCCGCACAACTAGTTGCTGTTGACACGACTTTTCACCATTTACCTGAACATAAGAAAGATCTTGGAAATGCTTTCTCATGACCTGCAAACGTTAATTTTAATATTCAGCTTAACAAAACCATGACTAAGAAGAAGAAAAAATGTTTTTTACGCATATAGAGTACATCTCTGCATTATTATAAAAAGTAAAACAATACTTTTTTTTTTTTTTCGTACCCAGTGCACAAGGCTCCCGCTTTACGCAGGGTCTGGGAGAGGTGAATGTTGGCTAGCCTTACCCCCATTTATGGAGAGGCTGCTCCCAAGTATCAATCAAATCATTTGCTTGGCTAAAAAGGTTAAAATACAATAAATATATTCACATCCAATTTATGAGATATCATGCAAAAGCAAATGTGAATGATTACAGAATCATGAATGCGAATAAGAAACACAAACTTGCCAAAAAGAAGACCTATTATAGTGTGTCAAGATACTCGCAGCATAAAGTGTCAAGATAACTGCAACAAAATATCCATCCAATGACTTAAGACTCAGATCAAAGTCAAATAAAAGTTGTTGCTTCATAATTTCCAATTTCAGTTCCTTACCAGCCTCAGTGAGCATTTCACCAATTTCAATCTCTTCCTAGAACTTTTATACTTATCTATAACAAAAATTTCAAAACCCGGTTTCGAGTTACTTTTCCTTGAACAACCAGGGAAAAGGCGAATAGACATAGAGTAAGTTTTTGAATTATTTGAGGCAATTACTAAAGAATACCTAGGATCATGTCATGGATCACATGTCCAAGATTAACTTGTTACAAGTGAGAATCTTATGATAGATGATCAAAATGTAAAAACCAAACCCACCATTTGAATCAACCTAAGCTGATGAGAAGTGAATCCCTTCAAACTAAGAGCTGGACGCATCTTGAAGAAAATGGTTTGTAACTGTTGGGAATCATTTGAGTTTTGCTGAAATTGGAATCCTCCATTACTACTTCTCAAGTTCAACAAACCATCACGCCATTCAGTGAATGTGTTCTTCATCCGTTCAGCAAAGAGAGTGTCAGCAATCTTGACCACTGGCATGTGCACAGGTTCTTTCAAGTTTGAACATCTAGTCAATAACTCATCATCATATGTCAAGCTCAAACGTCTCAGTGCCTCACTTTCCTGCCCTCTGGATAAATAAGATATTCCTGAGATTGTACAACCATTTAACTTTACAAACTGAAACCATCATAAAAGAAAAGCCAGGGAAGTAACTTTCACACCAGTTACAAAACCTTAACCATTACTTCAAAAAGAAATCAAACAATTTCACTACCTTCATGTATGCAGACATTAAAATCGAACTGGTATTTAGCTAAGAAATCAATCGATGTTGTCTGGCAAAGAAACTCATAAGTGGGGCCTGCAACCGGAAGCTCTTGACGCGGAAAAATGTAAAAATTGTGCCTGTCAGCACACCCATAGTATTACACAATAAAAACCACATAAAAAGTTCAAAACGAAACACCATCATTGCACAAACTTATTCATCTCGGAAATTGTGTGCCTTCGCATTTGCTTCAAACAATCCTAGACAGCAAACACATGTATAATATAATTTACAAACCCGGCAAAGCAACCGATTTTACGTAAAAAATTTCAAAATTTAAATTTTTTTTCTCCTTTTAAAGTTCAACTTACTACATTTACCAGAAAATCCAGTCACATTTAGCTTTTCAATCCAAATATCATGATCAAAGCAAAAGACTCGAACTTTAAATTTTATCAGCTAACTAACACGTAATTGCAAGAGAGAGAAGCAATTGCCAATGTTTCAATAACAATAAAATCAAGCAAAATCCCTAATTTTTGTTCCTTACTTTCTTCCTCACTTTCTGGGCAGCCAAACAGAGCACAAACAAAAATCAAGAATGGAAAAGAAAAAGTCACATACGGATGAGCAATGAAGGAGCGCTTGGAGGAGTCCCAGCGGAAGGGGCAAACTCCGAACTGAAGCACGGCGAACTTCTCGGCCGAGTCCTTGACCTTAAGGTAGCAGACGTCGGCGCGGTCGAATTCCAGGGAGTCACGCCACGGAGCGCTGGTGATTCCGGTCATCTCGAGATCGATGGCCACGAAATCGGCGGCGGCGACATGGCGGCGCAGGTCGGCGAGGGCCGGCTCGAAGTTGGATTTGGTCACGTTTTTTAGAGGGAAGGTGGAGGATTGTTGTTGTACGGACGACGAAGAGGAAGAGGAGTGGGATAGGGCACGTGATATCGCACGTGACAGTGCCCTCACCGGGCGGTGAGTGTTCATTTTCTGAGCATTTGCCTGAGCTTTCGGCCCTCGGGGGTTTATGCAGAGAGTTTTCGACCCAAGGTAGAAGATGAAATGATACCGCCTACGACGTCGTTTCTGCAATTTTCAATAAATCTTTTCCTGGGGGAATCGGGTCGGGTTAGCCCAACTTGAAAGCTATATAGAAAGGCCCAGCCAACCAAGGGAGTTCTGTTTTCTGCCCGGAGAAATGATTTTTACGCGTCATTTTCTCTTTCTTCAAACGTTCACCTGGAATGTGTATATTTTCCTTCTTGTATGATTAAGTCATTTCTTATTTTGATTCTGATTACGAATTAACAAACGCATACTTTTTGTGCTTAGAATTTCTTGTTACGATGAAACTCAATGAAACTACACGTTTGATTTACTTACATTCATAAAGCTCGAGTTAAACGAGCGGCTAATGCGAGGGAACGCTTTGCTAAAGGGTTGGAGAAATAGAGACGAATAATAAAGAGGACTCCCCTGAAAAATTAACACACTTGATGATGACACACAATCTAATACAGACGGCTCTATTATTGTATATAAGACTCACTCGTTGTCTTATTAAAAATTGTGTCAGCAGGTGAATCAATTTTGTATGTCTAATAACATTATCTTTATTCAGTTAGGGACAAAAGTAAGGACCAAGAACAAGCCATTGCTAGAGCACGTCCATATTGAAGGTTCTGAGGTTAATTTACAAGAAAGGAATAACTTATTTTAATGGCATACACTTTTTGTGCTCACTTTTTTCATTGTGATGAAGGGGAAAAGATGTTTTGGGAATATGTAAAGTAACAAGAAACTTGTGGTTTGGTTGTAGAGAGCTATACATATTTATTGTCAAATCTTTTTGTGTTAGGCACATCTTATTGACGAACAATTTTTCGGTGTGTCGGAAAACGGCTCGATACACTAAGCGTAATAATATAATTGAATATAAATTTGAAAAAAAAAAGTTGCAACCAATTGTATTGATACTTGACACGCCAATCGTGCTTCGGACATTGAAAAAATTCTCTTAATTGACGACTAGGACCAGATAATGTATGGCATGATTCATGGATATGTAAGTGCAACGTAGACAACACAAAAGTCTATGTAGGGTTGGAGTATTTATAATTTAAAAATTCTCTTAGTCCAACTGTTTTGCCAACTTTTATGTAACTTTCTTCCATGAAATGAATTATAAAGAAAGATTTTCAAAGTATAAATTTTATATAAAACACTTAGAGGGAGTTGGAGAAAAAAAAACTTAATTAGTTGGTAACTTAGATGTTTTTTTTCAACTGGTTTTTAGTTGTGAAATCTTCAGTGTCTTTATTTATGTCATTCTCTAATTTATTATGAAATAGACTTAAAACTCAAGTGGTAAGACACCTATTATTGTGTTTAGTTCCCTCACCTCTTAATAAATAAGTCGTAATTCACTATTTTTTAATACAAGTGGTCGGGGCAAATTTCAAACCTATATTTCACACAACACATCATGTATTCTCTCTTTGAAGTTGATGAATTACACGATGGTGCCCTGGGGGAGGTTAAAATGTCTATGTGAGTCTTCTAGACTCTCAAATAGTAGATTGTCACAGCGAAGCGACCAACTGATCCCCTTTAATAAAAGAAACACAATAAAGTTGAAGATGAAAGGCTTGACCACAAAACAATCCACTACTTACAATGGTAAATAATTACTAATAGTAATATTTTTTTTTAACAAGCAATAGTATTTACACTAAGGGGTGGGAGTTTGTCATAATAATATGGTTCAATTTTACCTTTGATGAGAATCGAATTTAAAACATCTCATATACAAGCGAAAATAAATATTACTAATTTGAAATACTAAGTGACACTAATAGCAATATTATTTACAATCTTATATTTTCATACTCTATATGCACTCAACTTCATCCTTTTATTCCTACAATTGGTCATCATTCAACAAAGCCCCACATGATGACCCTCCAAATGTCACCATTTAGGACGTCCAAATTGTGTCCATGTTTCCAATTTTGCTTGTTTTATTTCATCAAAAAAAAAAAAAAAAGCATATTTGGGTTCAATGTTTTGGTTGGTCTTGGAATAAAGTTGTTAACCCCCGGAAGCTCTTTTCCTTCGCAATTAAGAAAGTCCCAAAAGTAGAGGGCCGAAACATGCACGTACATGCACTACTAGTCACTACTAGCCATTTTCGATTTTACCAAGGAAACACACATCATTGCTTCTGTTTTCCTTTTTCTTTTTTCTTCCCTCACGTATCGGAAAGAGATTTTTCAGTGTATCAAAAACACAATTCGGTACATTAACTGTCATAATACAATAATTTGAAACTTGAAAAAAAAATTTCAATCAATTGAGCCGTATTCCTGGCACATTGAAAAATTTCTCTATAGGATATATACCATTTTCACAAATGCAAACTTGATTGACAATCTCGTTTGAAACTGTTTTTTATTTTTATTTTTTTTAACACTTCTATTCACAAACACTTCTAGTAAAATTGTTTTTATTAAAAGCGCATAAATAAAAATACTAAGGGTTAGCTTTTGTTGCCAAACATATCGTTATGTTCTATCATCGAAGTTAGGAATCCAAAATATATATAAATTCTTACAATAAATCAATTTTTATGAATTTATTTGGTGGCCATTTTATGTGATAAATACGATACAACCAAGTATAAATTCGGCCCAAAGAGATTTATTGGAGAAACTTAAATTAGATACGGGTGATGTTAGTAAGAAAATAAGAAACCAACAAAAGTAAAAGATCAAAACAGAGAACAAAAGATCAAACACCATTTTTGGTCTGGATTTAGCAAATATTTACTTAGAAGGATATTGTAGCAAATTTGGATTCAAACATTGCTTGGTAAGAAAAAGAATTAATATTGTAATATAATTTATTTATTTTCCTGGATAATAATAAAACATAATTTAGGAAAATTAAGCTACTTAACAAGCTGGACATAATTACAATTATACTTTTTGAACATCAAACAAGTTAAATAATAGAGACATTAACACAATAATCTAGAGTCACATTCAATTCAAATTATCTTATTCGTTGTATCAGGATTTTCATGATAGATATGTGTGTTAAGTCAATGTGTTTGTTTGTCGCATCCAATTCATAATAGATGAATTTTATATGTGTTAGACTAATTATCTAAAGTACTGTGTCGTTTTGTCTCATATAATTACATTCTCACCATGATAATAAAATAGGCCCAAATGGAGAGCACAATGTATATTTAATTATTATATTTTATTTTTTATGAAAAACAATTATTTTATTTTTATCTCCTCCCTTTATCTATGTCTATTTTTTTTTTGTTTTTCCGAATTTTACTATAATTTCCTGCCCCCTCTATATATACCACACTCTAGCTTCTTTCTCAGTTATTCATTTCTTCTCCAATTCTCTGCTTCCCTTTCTGTCTCTGTGCGATCCTCATCAAAACCCTAATCTTGATCGCGAAGAAGCTCAAATTTCCTCTTATCACTCTCGAAAAATCGAAGCTTGACGATCCGATCGTCGTCAAACAGCCGCTACAAAACGTTCCTCACTTCAATTTTAGTTGCCGCATAATTTTAATTTCCCCAATTCAGTCTCTGCTCTTCGATCAATTCTTGGTTTTTTAGCGATTGATCGGGTACCAATTCAAGGCGGTTCTCAATCGTGCAATGCTTTCAGTTCCAATATGAAGTTAAAGAGAAGGAGGGCGGTTGAAGTGGTCAGTATATTTCACCTGTGGAATCGATTAGATTCTTGTATGCATACTGCGCATAATATATATATGTATGTGTTTGTACATGATTAAAGTACTGGGTTTTCCCTATGTTTTGATTTCGAGAAGAAGTTGATGGTTCTGGGTTATGTTCTTTTTCTCTTTTTTTTTTTCTCATTTCCCAGTGAGTGGCACTTTTGTATGCAATTGCTTATATAATTCGTTTTGGGCATCTATCAATTTGATGTTTTCTTTGGTTGTTTAACTAGGGACTGATACAAGATAAGAAAGTTTAATTTTTTTTACCTTATTATTGAATTGTTTATATAATTCGGAGTACGAAAATGCAAACATATTCAGCTTATGAAGTGAGGTTTTCATTCTTGCATGAGGATTACAACCAGTACTAGGAAGATCCTAGAGACATGATTATACATGATTATTCATGACCAACCCAGTTGACTGTATTAGTTTCGTTATTGTTTCTTAGTTCAAAGAGTTATTTTCTCCATCGAATGTCTATATGACTTTATATGTTTTTGTTGAAATTGCTAGCATTGAGAGAGAGAGAGAGAGAGAGAGAGAGAGAGAGAGAGAGAGAAGAAGAGGAGGGGGTGGAGGTTTGGTCGGTTCGTCAGTCTGTTTATCAGTGTGTTAACGTTCATGGAGCAAATGTCATGCATGACAGATTATTTTGTCGAAAAAGAAGTTTTAATCTTTTTATAAGGAGGCAATATCTAGATGGAACAAGATTAATTGGTTTTGACATTTATGCTTTAATGTTTTGTAGAAAATGTGTGGAAACTGGATAATTGTTACAGCAAGGTGAAGTTAGGAGTTCGTCGTTTTCTTTAAGACTTTCGCTATGCATTAAACATGTGTGAAGTTAGGAGTTCGTTCGCTATGCATTAAACATGTGTGAAGTTAGGAGTTCGTTGTTTTCTTTAAGACTTTTCTATGCATTAAAATATGTGGGACTTAGATGTATGAATTGTTTTCAAGTTATAAATTTAGTACATTCACATCACACAGAATAAAATTTTGCTCAAACGGATACTGCGCTTAGCTAAAAGTGTGAGATGAAATGGTGAGTGCGTGAATGATCTTAGTTCCTTATATGCATCTCTTTGAATATGTCACTCTTAAGATTTTCAGTAATTAAATTTTATTAAGTGAACTTAACCATATTATGTTAAGGTTCATTAAGGTCAATCCAAGCCACCTCAATCCTTTCTTTAAAGGTACCAGACAAGTGTGGCACTATTAACAACATCTATTAACAACATTTTAACTTGTGTGCTTCTTGAAACTTTTTGACATTAGTTTCAATGTTGTTTATTTCCTGTTAGTAGTATGGAGACTTCTAACAAAGTGATAGGGGGTAATGTGTGTTAAAACAAATTATCTCTAGGATATGGTCTTGTTTGCACTATGTTGTGTGTACCCTTCTCATTGTTTGCACACCTTGAACATCCCTTATTGCACTTGAAGAACTTATGTTTACAAATAAGTCATCTATTTATTGTTTATTTGTTGTCTCTGTGGTACTGGGTACTAATTTTATATAAAAGCAATTTGGCGAGTCTGCAAAGTACTAACAACTATTTGTTTGGTCTTGTTTTGTTTCAGCCCCCAAAAATTAGATCCTTCATCAATAGTGTCACTGCCGTTCCCTTTGAGAATATAGAGGAACCTCTGAAAGGTTTCATCTGGGAGTTCGATAAGGTGATTTTATTACCTTTAACTGTTACATTAATACAGTTATTTACATGCAATATGATTTATATGCTTTTATTTCTGGTGCAGGGAGATTTCCATCATTGGGTTGATCTTTTCAACCATTTTGATTCATTTTTTGAGAAGCACATAAAATCCAGGAAGGATTTGCAGGTTGATGATAATTTTCTAGACACTGATCCTCCTTTTCCGAGAGAAGCTGTTCTTCAAGTTCTCCGTGTAATAAGGATAATTTTGGAGAATTGCACAAATAAGCACTTCTACAGTTCTTATGAGGTAAAATTTCCATCATTCACCTCTCCGTCGTTGGTGTGTAATTTTCAGTTGTTTATTATTAGTTAGTTTTTATTCCTTCTAGATATACAATTATACCATTATTGCTTTTTGGGTATTGTATATGGGATGAAGGCTTATTTTTAGCTGGGTTGTGATAATTAACAACTCTGATTATTGTGCATTTGATTGTGTTAATTTTTATTCTTTACATCAGTCAATTTCATTTATTTTCAATTCCTCCTTTTCCCATTCATTAGTTTTATGTCTTTGTTTCATATGTTATTGCAGCAGCATCTTTCATCTCTTCTTGCTTGCACTCATGCGGATGTGGTTGAGGGTTGCCTGCAGACATTGGCTGCATTTTTAAAGAAAACAGTTGGAAAGTATTCCATTAGGGATGCTGCACTAAATTCAAAGTTATTCGCTCTTGCACAAGGTTGGGGGGGAAAAGAAGAGGGTCTTGGATTAATTGCTAGTGCAATACAGAATGGTTGTGACCCTGTTGCTTACGAGTTAGGCTGCACCCTTCATTTTGAGTTCTATGCATCAAATGATTCAACAGGTGACATCCCTGCCAACCAAGGTTTACAAATCATTCACTTACCCAACATCAATACTCATCCAGAGACGGATCTTGAGCTTTTGTGTAAGTTAATTGCCGAGTACAAAGTACCCTCTAGCTTAAGATTTTCTTTATTGACAAGATTGCGGTTTGCAAGGGCTTTTGGCTCTGTAGCTACTCGGCAGCAGTATGCATGCATCCGCTTGTATGCCTTCATAGTTCTTGTTCAAGCAAATAGTGATGCTGACGACCTTGTTTCTTTCTTCAATGCTGAACCTGAGTTTATCAATGAATTAGTGTCATTGTTGAGCTTTGAGGATGTGGTTCCTGAGAAAATTCGAATTCTCTGTCTTCTTTCACTGGTTGCTCTTTGTCAAGATCGATCCCGGCAGCCTACTGTTTTAACTGCTGTCACATCTGGTGGGCATCGTGGAATCCTGTCCAGTCTCATGCAGAAGGCCATTGATTTTGTCACCAAAGATACATCAAAGTGGTCTGTTGTTTTTGCTGAGGCTCTATTGTCTCTTGTCACAGTTTTGGTGTCATCATCATCAGGTTGTTCAGCCATGCGTGAAGCTGGTTTTATTCCCACCCTTCTGCCTTTGCTTAAAGATACAGACCCGCAACACCTTCATTTGGTCAGCACATCTGTGCACATTTTAGAAGCTTTTATGGATTACAGTAATCCTGCTGCTGCATTGTTTCGGGATTTGGGTGGTTTAGACGATACAATCTCTCGCCTACAGGTGGAAGTGTCTCATGTAGAAAATGGCTCAAAGCATGAAGATGATGATTCTGACATCATTGGGAGTAGTGCACAAGTAGCTGTAGGAACTTCCACAGAGCTAGACAGCATGCAGCCTTTGTATTCAGAACCACTGGTTTCATATCACAGACGATTGCTTATGAAAGCTCTATTGCGTGCTATATCCCTGGGGACTTATGCCCCTGGAAATACTGCTCGTGTTTATGGCTCAGAGGAGAGTCTATTGCCACAATGCTTATGCATAATATTTAAAAGGGCAAAGGATTTTGGTGGTGGGGTATTCTCACTTGCGGCAACTGTCATGAGTGATCTAATACACAAAGATCCTACCTGTTTTCCAGTTTTAGATGCAGCAGGCCTTCCTTCTGCCTTCTTGGATGCTATAATGGATGGTGTTCTTTGCTCTGCAGAAGCCATTACATGCATACCACAGTGTCTGGATGCCCTATGTTTAAATACTACTAATGGTCTTCAGGCTGTGAAAGATCGCAATGCTTTGAGGTGCTTTGTGAAGATATTTACTTCAAGAACTTATCTGAAGGCCCTGACCAGTGACACACCAGGTTCGTTATCTAGTGGATTGGATGAGTTAATGCGCCACGCTTCCTCATTGCGTGGGCCTGGAGTGGATATGCTGATTGAGATCTTAAATGCCATTTCAAAAATTGGACATGGGGTTGATGCTTCGTACATGTCAATTGATCCTTTGGGCTCTTCTACTCCTGTTCCCATGGAAACAGATGGAGAAGAGAGGAATTTGGTCATGTCTGATAATGGGGAATCATCCAAAACGGAGAGTTCAGAGCAGACTGTGGAACCACCTTCTGATTCTTCAGTGGGGAATGTTGAATTATTTCTTCCTGATTGTGTGAGCAATGTTGCACGTCTTCTTGAAACAATACTTCAGAATGGTGACACATGTCGTATATTTGTGGAGAAGAAGGGGGTTGAAGCTGTCCTGCAGTTATTTACCTTGCCTTTGATGCCTCTTTCTGTTTCAGTTGGCCAGAGTATTTCTGTCGCATTTAAGAACTTCTCACCACAACATTCTGCTTCTTTGGCTCGGGCAGTATGTTCATTCTTGAGAGAGCATCTGAAATCAACAAATGAACTTTTAGTTTCAGTTGGAGGGACTCAACTTGCTTTGGTGGAATCTGTGAAGCAAACTCAAGTTTTGAGACATCTTTCCAGTCTTGAAGCTATTCTGTCTCTGTCTAATGTTCTGTTGAAAGGGACGACTACTGTGGTGTCTGAACTGGGTGCAGCTGATGCTGATGTATTGAAAGATCTCGGGAGCACCTACCGGGAAATAATTTGGCAAATCTCTCTGTGCAATGATGTCAAGTCAGATGAGAAGATCAATGCTGAACAAGAACCAGAGAGTGCTGAGGCAGCTCCGACTAATGCTTCTGGAAGGGAGAGTGATGATGATGCAAATATTCCAATGGTGAGATATATGAACCCAGTTTCTATCAGGAATCAGCCCTTGTGGGGTGGAGAACGTGAGTTTCTATCAGTTGTTCGCTCTGGTGAAGGTTTGCACCGTCGTAGTCGTCATGGTTTTACACGCATAAGGGGTGGAAGGACAGGCCGGCATTTGGAGGCTTTAAATGTTGATTCTGAATCTTCCTCAACGGTATCAGAGACATCTACTTCCCAAGATTTGAAAAAGAAAAGTCCTGATGTTCTTGTGATAGAAATCCTCAACAAGCTGGCTTCCACACTGCGTTCCTTCTTCACAGCTCTTGTCAAGGGATTCACATCACCAAATCGGCGTAGAGTCGACTCTGGGTCGTTGAGTTTGGTTTCCAAGACTCTTGGAACTGCCCTAGCTAAAATATTTCTCGAGTCTCTTAGCTTCTCTAGGCATTCTACATCAACTGGGCTCGATACATCACTGTCAGTCAAGTGTCGATATCTTGGCAAAGTTGTCGATGATATGGTATCACTTACATTTGACAGCAGGCGACGTACTTGTTATACTGCAACAGTAAATAATTTCTATGTCCATGGTACTTTTAAGGAGCTGCTTACAACATTTGAAGCTACTAGTCAGTTGTTGTGGACACTACCATACTCCGTGTCAACGTCAGGTATTGATCCCGAAAGGACAGGTGAAGGAAGTAAACTGTCCCACAGTTCGTGGCTGCTTGATACTTTACAGAGCTATTGCCGTGTGCTCGAGTATTTTGTTAATTCTTCTTTACTCTTATCCACAACCTCTGCTTCTCAAGCACAGTTGCTTGTTCAGCAGCCAGTTGCAGTTGGTTTGTCAATTGGGCTTTTCCCTGTGCCAAGGGACCCAGAAGTTTTTATTCGTATGCTGCAATCTCAAGTTCTTGATGTGATACTTCCTGTCTGGAACCACCCTTTGTTTCCAAATTGTAGTCCAGGTTTCATTGCTTCTATTGTCTCGCTTGTCATGCATGTATATTCTGGTGTTGGAGATGTGAAGCAGAATCGCAGTGGCATTGCTGGAAGTACAAACCAGCGATTCATGCCCCCACCACTTGATGAAAATACTATTACCACCATTGTTGAGATGGGTTTTCCAAGGGCTAGGGCAGAGGAAGCTCTTAGGCGGGTGGGAACAAATAGCGTTGAAATGGCCATGGAGTGGCTCTTTAGTCATCCTGAGGATCCTGTGCAGGATGATGATGAACTGGCTCGAGCACTTGCTCTTTCACTGGGAAATTCATCAGATGCATCTAAAGCTGAGAGTGTTGAAAAGCCTGTTGATGTGCCGGCAGAAGAGGGTTGTGTGAAAGCTCCTCCTGTTGATGATGTCCTTGCAGCGTCGGTTAAATTACTTCAAAGTAATGATACCATGGCATTCCCTTTGACAGATTGCTTGTGACACTTAGCAACCAGAACAAAGGGGAAGACCGTCCAAGAGTTGTATCTTATCTTACTCAGCAGCTAAAGAATTGTCCATTGGATTTTTCTAATGATACCAGTGCGTTGAGTATGGTGTCACATGTTATTGCATTACTTCTTTCTGAGGATGGAAGCACAAGGGAAGTCGCTGCACAGTATGGTATTGTGACTACTGCAACAGATATCTTGATGAACTTTAAGGGCAAAGATGAGTCAGGCAATGAGCTTCTTGTCCCAAAATGTATCAGTGCTCTACTGCTTATTTTGGATAACATGTTGCAATCAAGGTCCAGAATTTCTGAAAAGGTTGAAGATACTCAGACAGGGCCTTTACCTGAATTATCTGGAGAGCGTATGTCAATCCCTGCATCAGATACAGAGAAAAAACAGCTTATGGATGCCTATGAAAAGGATTCTGCCACAGCATTTGAGAAAATATTGGGGAAATCTACTGGTTATTTGACTATGGAAGAGAGTCATAAAGTGCTAGCAGTTGCTTGTGACTTGATAAAGCAGCATGTCCCAGCAATGATCATGCAGGCTGTTTTACAATTATGTGCTCGCTTGACAAAAACTCATGCTCTAGCTTTACAATTCCTTGAAAATGGAGGCTTGGCAGCTCTATTTGGCCTTCCAAGAAGTTGTTTTTTCCCGGGATATGATACTGTTGCATCTGCTATTGTTCGCCATCTCCTTGAAGATCCACAAACACTGCAAACAGCAATGGAATTGGAGATTCGCCAAGCCCTGAGTGGAAACAGGCATGGTGGGCGCACTTCTGCACGAACGTTCTTGACATCAATGGCACCTGTAATCTCTAGAGATCCAGTAGTTTTTATGAAAGCTGCTTCTGCAGTTTGTCAGTTGGAGACATCAGGAGGTAGAACCTTTGTTCTGTTATTGAAGGAAAAGAGAAGGAAAAGGAAAAATCTAAAGCAGTAGGTGATGAGGCTGGATTATCTTCCAATGAGTGTGTACGGATTTCTGAAAATAAGATACATGATGGATCTGGTAAATGCGCAAAAAGTCACAAGAAGATCCCTGCCAATCTCACTCAAGTGATAGATCAGCTTCTTGAAATAGTCTTCAAATACCATTTCCCAAATAGCCAGGAAGACTATTCGAATAACCCATCTGCTATGGAAGTAGATGAACCCTCTATGAAGGTGAAGGGTAAATCAAAGGTTGACGAGACAAGGAAAGTGGAGTCAGAATCTGAAAGATCTGCAGGGTTGGCTAAAGTTACCTTTGTTCTCAAATTACTGAGTGATATCCTTCTTATGTATGTACATGCAGTTGGGGTTATACTTAAACGGGATTTAGAAATGACTCAGTTGCGGGGATCTAATCAAACAGATGGTCTTGGACATGGTGGTATACTTCACCATGTAATTCATCGATTGCTTCCACGCACCATTGATAAATCTGCTGGACCTGATGAATGGAGAGACAAACTGTCTGAAAAAGCTTCTTGGTTCCTGGTAGTTCTGTGTGGTCGTTCCAGTGAAGGGCGCAGACGAGTAATTAGTGAACTTGTAAAGGCTTTATCCTCGTTTTCGAATTTGGGATGTACTTCCACCAAGAGCATCTTATTACCGGATAAAAGCGTTTATGCTTTTGTTGATTTGGTGTATTCAATTTTGTCAAAAAATTCATCATCCAGCAACTTACCTGGTTCTGGGTTTTCACCAGACATAGCAAAAAGCATGATAGATGGGGGAATGATTCAGTGTCTGACTGGTATCCTCCGGGTGATTGACTTAGACCATCCTGATGCTCCCAAAACTGTGAATTTGATACTCAAGACGTTAGAAAGCCTAACAAGGGCTGCTAATGCTAGTGAGCAATACTTTAAATCTGATGAGACGAGCAAGAAAAAATCCACAGGGTTGAATGGAAGTTCTGACGATCAGGTAACTGCCCCATCAGCTGATACTACTGTGGGGGATAATCAGAATGCAAGCAGTGAACAGGGTGTGAGAGACGTCGTACAGGTTGTTCAAGGGGATCAAGGAATTTCTGAAAGTGAAGGTAATCCTGAAGTAAATCTGATCCAGTTGGTGGAACAAGATATGAGGATAGAAGTTGAAGGACCAATAGCTTCTAATCCACCCATGGAGCTTGGGATGGATTTCATGCGTGAGGAGATGGATGAAGGTAATGTACTACACAACACTGATCAAATTGAGATGTCTTTTCGTGTTGAGAATAGGACAGATGATGACATGGCTGATTTAGAAAACGACATGGGTGATGATGGTGAGGATGACGACGAGGGAGAGGACATGGCTGATTTAGAAAATGACATGGGTGATGATGGTGAGGATGATGAGGATGATGATGAGGGAGAGGATGAGGATGAGGATATAGCAGAGGGCGGTGGTGGCATGATGTCACTTGCTGATACTGATGTGGAAGACCATGATGATACCGGCTTGGGAGATGATTACAATGATGGGATGATTGATGAAGATGATGATGATTTTCATGAGAATCGTGTCATAGAAGTGAGATGGAGAGAAGCCCTTGATGGGCTTGATCATTTGCAGGTACTTGAACAACCTGGAGCTGGAAGTGGTCTCATTGATGTTGCTGCTGAACCTTTTGAAGGTGTTAATGTGGATGACTTGTTTGGTCTGAGAAGGCCGATAGGTTTTGATCGCCGCCGTCAGACAAGTAGGTCTTCCTTTGAGCGATCTGTTGCAGAAGCAAATGGATTTCAACATCCTCTCCTTTTAAGACCATCCCAGTCTGGGGATTTGGTCTCAATGTGGTCAGCAGGTGGAAATTCATCCAGGGATTTAGAAGCTCTGTCATCAGGGAGCTTTGATGTTGCTCATTTCTACATGTTTGATGCTCCTGTTCTACCTTATGATCACGTACCAAGCAATCTTTTTGGTGACCGGTTGAGTGGTGCTGCACCCCCACCATTGACTGATTATTCAGTAGGTATGGACTCATTGCAGTTATCGGGGAGAAGAGGGCCAGGTGATGGTCGATGGACTGATGATGGCCAGCCTCAAGCAGGTCCTCAAGCTGCTGCTATTGCACAAGCAGTGGAGGAACACTTTATATCGCAATTACGCAGTCTTGCTCCAGCTGATATCCCTGCTGAACGACAGTCCCAGAACTCAGGAGTGCAGGAGAAACAGCCAGATCTCCCTCCTTTAAGTGATAGTCAAGTAGCAGGGGAGTGCAATGACAGCCATGAAAGAAATGAAGATCAGCGTCAAGATGGGGTTGATGAAACAACACATCAAGTTAACTCAAGTTCTGACACTGCTCCCTGTCAAGAACAAGTCAATCCAGAATCTATAGTCGAAGGTGCAGGGGAGTTCTTACAAGCACCTGAACCAATGTCAATTATGCCACCTTCAACGAACAGTACACCAAGCGATAGCATGGACATTGGTGATGGAAATGGTGCTGCTGGTGAGCAAGTAGGGTCAGTGCCAGGTTCTGTCAACTCGTCTGCAGAAATAAGTGCTGGTTTACAATGTGAAGGGGGTTCTGTGCCTTCTAATCCCCATGATGTTACTGTGGAGGCTGTGGGTTGTGATAGATCCTCAAGAGCAGAGGGTCAGGTTGGTAATGTGTCGGCAAGTTTGGGTTTCAATGTGCCTAATCCAGGTGATTCTCATACTTCTTTGGTGCCAACAAATATTGACGTTGATATGAATTACATTGGTGAAATAAATGAATTGGCCATCCCATGCCTACTTTTGAAAATCGTACAGTTGAACCATCAAGGGAAAACACAACTGTTGCTCCAGAAGCTAATCAGGCTGAACAAGATTTGAATAATGAGGCTGCTGGTGCTAATACAATTGATCCGACCTTCTTGGATGCTTTACCTGAATATTTGAGGGCCGAAGTTCTTGCTTCACAACAAGCTCAGCCGGTTCAACCTCCATCTTATGCACCACCTTCTGCAGACGACATTGATCCTGAGTTTTTAGCAGCCCTTCCTCCAGATATCCAAGAAGAAGTTTTGGCTCAACAAAGAGCACAAAGGGTTGCACATCAGGCTGAGGGACCAGTTGACATGGACAACGCTTCAATAATTGCTACTTTTCCTGCTGATTTACGTGAAGAGGTTTTCATCTGGAACTGCATCTTTCATGACCTTGATTGTAATGATTATTTGTCTTATATATGTAATTTTTCTCTTGGTCCAGGTACTTTTAACTTCTTCAGAAGCAGTTCTGTCTGGATTGCCTTCTCCATTGCTCGCTGAAGCCCAAATGCTAAGAGACCGAGCAATGAGTCATTATCAGGCTCGCAGCCTTTTTGGAACCAGCCAGAGGCTAAACAACCGGAGAAATGGATTGGGTTTTGATCGGCAGACGGTGATGGACAGAGGTGTTGGAGTCACAATTGGCCGGAGGGCAGTTTCTGCTCTTGCAGACAGCTTAAAGGTTAAGGAAATCGAAGGAGAGCCACTTCTGGATGCCGATGAATTGAAAGCCTTAATTAGGCTATTACGATTAGCGCAGGTAAATTCATATTCCAATTAATGGTAATTGGAGTGTTTATAACTGGTTATGAAAGTTTTATGTTTCGTTGAAATATGAATATTAGGTTTTCTTTTTAAAAAATCCATATATGGTTAGAAAGTTTGGAGGTTTGAACAAATTTATGTGTACTATATAAGTGTTAAAGCTCCTGTTGATGGGAATAATAATGTGTAAAAAACGTCATATGAAGAATTTTCGGTTGGCTGAAGAGTAGAAAACCAAGTGGGTTATATTTTCTCAATTTGTGCTTTAAAAGACCTCAAAATAACGCATTATTTGAAAATCGCATGTACACATACATGTACTACTTTTTTTTTTTTTTTTTCTACATACTGTCACATAAAATCATTCATTAAATGACTATCTTCTGCTAACATGATCCATTTATTTTTTTGTGTGTGGTTAGCCCCTGGGCAAAGGACTCTTGCAGAGGCTCTTGTTGAACTTATGTACCCATAGCGTTACACGAGCAATCTTAGTTCGTCATTTGCTTGATATGATCAAACCTGAGGCTGAGGGCTCAGTCGGTGGATTAGCAGCTATTAATGCTCAAAGGCTTTACGGTTGCAATTCAAATGTTGTTTATGGTCGATCACAGTTGTTAGATGGTAAGTCATCTGACGCTCCAACAGTTATCTGCAATACATTTGTTTCTTCTATTTATGGACTAACAATTTGTTTGCTTTATATTCATTTTCAATAGGTCTTCCTCCCTTGGTGCTACGTCGAATTCTTGAGATCTTGACTTATTTGGCCACAAATCATTCTGCTGTGGCAAATATGTTATTCTTCTTTGATTTCTCTGGTGTTCCTGAGTCATTAAGCCCTATCCATATGGAAACCAAGAAGGACAAAGGCAAGGAGAAAATTGGAGAAGGAGGATCTTCATCAAAACCATCTGGAAACACCCAGGATGTGGACATTCCCCTGATATTGTTCCTGAAGCTCCTGAACCGACCTCATTATGGCACTGCTCATCTTGAGCAGGTACTACCTACTCTATGGTTAACCAGTTTAAAATGACCTCGTGGAGAGATTAGCTGCTGTTTGTCTATTCATTTAAAAGTGTAGTGTGTAAATCCCTTGGTAGTTGTTAGGTATCCACATATTTAGTACTTCAACTTGAGAGCTTATATGAATTTAAGATTGGAGTAATTCAATTGTTTGTAATGTTTGACTCGTTAACTATTCTGGACAAAGGCTAGTACCTGCTCCATAACTTTATTTCTCTCCTTAAAAATTAAGAAAAAAACTAAGTATATGGTAGAGAACGTGTGTATTGCTTGCCGTATCTCTAGTTGTACATGTGGAGTCATAATCTTGATTATTTTATTGCTGAAGCATGTCCTACAGCATGATCCTTTCAAAAAAAATTATAATTCAGCACCATCTCATGTTTTTAATTTTTTTTTTTTGTGTGCTACAGGTGATGGGCCTGCTTCAGGTTGTTGTGTATACTTCAGCTTCAAAATTAGAGGGCCAGTCTCAATCTGAGAGGGCAGATAAGCCTGTTGGTGAAGCTTCAGGAGATGGTCAAAAGGTTCCTCCTTTGGAATCAGAATCTAATCAGGGAGAGAAGCCTGTTAGTGGTGAATCATCAACTTCAGATGGAAAGAGGAGTACGGATACATATAATGTTTTCTTGAAGCTGCCAGAATCTGATCTACACAATCTTTGCAGCCTTCTTGGTCGTGAGGGGTATTATTAGCTCACTAATTCTTATATGTTCATTCTTTGAACGTAGATGCAGTATTTGTCAGATTAACTACTCTCTTCTTTGTGCTACTATATGAACTGTGTTTTTATGAGTGTCTAATCTGAGTCCATTTACTTGATTAGGCTTTCAGATAAACTTTATATGCTTGCTGGTGAGGTCTTGAAGAAGTTGGCCTCAGTTGCAGCACCCCATCGAAAACTATTTGTCTCAGCGCTGTCAGAACTGGCTCATCGCTTGAGTGCCTCAGCTGTTGGTGAGCTTGTTACTCTCCGGAACACACATATGCTGGGTTTGAGTGCCGGATCAATGGCTGGGTTAGCAATCCTACGTGTATTACAAGCACTTTGCTCTCTCACTTCACCTAGGGCTAGTGAGAATTCAGGATTGGAGAATGATGCGGATCAGGAGGAGCATGCCATCATGTGGAAACTAAATGTTGCACTTGAGCCACTGTGGCTAGAATTAAGCAACTGTATAAGTGCGACTGAAACAGCACTGGGTCAGAGTACTTTTTGTCGAACCATGTCTATAGTAAATACTGGGGACCATGCACAGGGTTCTTCTTCGTCTCCTCTCCCTCCTGGAACCCAGAGACTCCTGCCTTTTATGGAGGCTTTTTTTGTTCTGTGTGAAAAGCTACAAGAGAACCTCTCTACTATGCTGCAAGACCAGGCGAATGTGACTGCAAGAGAAGTCAAAGAGTCCTCTGGAAACTCAGATCCTTCAACTACCAAGTGCCACAGTTGTGGGGATTCTCAGAGAAAGCTTGATGGTGCTATTACATTTACAAAGTTCGCTGAGAAGCATCGCCGGCTTTTAAATGCTTTTATCAGGCAGAATCCAGGTTTGTTGGAGAAATCCCTTACTATGATGCTGAAGGCACCAAGGCTAATTGATTTTGATAACAAAAGAGCATATTTCCGGTCAAGAATTAGGCAGCAGCATGAGCAACATCTCTCTGGTCCTCTGAGAATAAGTGTTCGGCGGGCATACGTTTTGGAGGATTCTTATAATCAGTTGCGCATGCGGCCTACTCTGGACATGAAGGGACGATTAAATGTCCAATTCCAAGGGGAAGAGGGTATTGATGCTGGAGGTCTGACACGAGAGTGGTATCAATTACTGTCAAGGGTCATATTTGACAAGGGGGCATTGCTTTTCACCACCGTAGGAAACAATGCAACTTTCCAGCCAAACCCTAATTCTGTCTACCAGACAGAACATCTGTCTTATTTTAAATTTGTGGGCCGTGTGGTAATTCTTCTGGACTATTATTGACTTTTTGAAACTGACTTTATAAGCTTCTTCCGTCTGTGTTAGATTTTTCTTTAACTTTTGCTGCTGTGATAATTTATTCAGGTTGCAAAGGCACTTTTTGATGGGCAACTTTTGGATGTTTATTTCACTCGATCCTTCTATAAGCATATACTTGGTGTAAAGGTGACTTACCATGATATAGAGGCTGTGGATCCTGATTACTACAAGAATTTAAAGTGGATGTTAGAGGTTAGCGTGCTTTTGATCACACTCTGATTTTTAAGAGTTCAAGGTTGGATTGGAATGGGTTTCGTTGTAGGTTTTTATATCTTTTTAACTGATCTAAAATGTGTCATATTCGTTATTCTGAAATTCTCTGCAGGATTAAGACTCAGTTCCTCTATTGCGTAAGTTTCTTTAATTTGATTTTTTTTCTCGTGTCCAGAATGACGTGAGTGATATTCCTGACCTGACGTTTAGCATGGATGCGGATGAAGAAAAGCATATCCTTTATGAGAAAAACCAGGTATTTGAATTTATATGTTACTTTTAAGTTCTGTTCTTTATTTTTGAAAGCTTTTGGGTTTTCACGTAGTGTTATTGTAAAGTCTTTACTTAAATGCCAATCTGATTTTCATTCAATGTTATAACATTAAATTGAGCTCGCGGGTTTGACTAATGTTGTACTTGTTTGTTGTGTTTTCCTTTCTTTATACCTTCTTGAAAAGGTTACTGATTATGAGCTGAAACCTGGAGGAAGAAATATTCGGGTTACAGAAGAGACGAAGCACGAGTATGTTGACCTTGTAGCTGAACATATCTTGACAAATGCTATCCGACCTCAAATTACTTCCTTCATGGAGGGGTTTAAGGAATTGGTCCCGCGAGAGCTTATCTCAATTTTCAATGACAAGGAGCTTGAGCTACTTATCAGTGGTCTTCCAGAGATAGATTGTGAGTTGCATTTAAAATGAGCTTATTACATAATTGATATGGTCTTTTGTTTCTCTTGTGATATCTGAATGGTGGCATTGTCCTTACAGTGGCTGATTTGAAGGCCAATACCGAGTACACTGGCTACACATCATCATCTGATGTTGTTAAATGGTTCTGGGACGTGGTTGAAAGTTTCGACAAGGAGGACATGGCAAGACTGCTGCAATTTGTGACTGGAACATCAAAGGTAACTGTTTGTACTACAAAAGAAATATGAAAATAGTATATATACTTCTCCATATCCGCTGGTTCACGACTAAAAGGGATTTTGTATGTGCTTTTGTACTTTCTGAGTGTATGCGACCCCTCTTTTCCCTTGTCCCATCCCTTTTTCCCAACAACCCAACCCCTCCCTTTATAATGTTCATAACTTTTTTAAAGGGTCCGTTGAAGTGTGACTTGCGTTGATTTTACCTTGATATCATTTGTCAATTTCATTTCCTTTTTTTCACAGGGTCCGTTGGAAGTGTGACTTGCGTTGATTTTACCTTGATATCATTTGTCAATTTCATTTCCTGTGAACATGGTTTTTCACAATGCGCATGTTGTCTCATTGAACTTTGCCATTGTATAATGATTGGAGATGGCATGCGTAGCTAATGATTTAAATGTATGCTTGCAACATGATGCATATGTGGGGGCAAATTTTTGTACTCGGTAAAACTAACATATTTGTGACTTTCAGGTTCCATTGGAAGGTTTCAGGGCTTTGCAAGGTATCTCTGGTCCTCAGAAATTTCAGATCCACAAGGCTTATGGAGCTCCTGACAGGCTACCTTCTGCTCATACATGGTTAGTGTAAACATAATTTGAAAAAGTTAGTTTCTTTGAAAAAGTCAGTTTCTTTGTCCCCTTCACATTCTCGTCAAGCTCGATGTTTCTAATGTAGTCCTATGTCTTTTCCAGCTTTAACCAGCTAGACCTTCCTGAGTACACCACCAAAGAACAGCTTCACGAACGATTGATACTTGCTATTCATGAAGCTAGTGAAGGATTTGGCTTTGGTTGACAGAAGGAATCTCAGCAGATATTTCCCCAGCATTCCAGTCATCGGTCGTATAGTTAGCATGTACATGTCAGTTCGACATCTTTTTTCTTTCCTTATTTCGAAAACCTTGGTTAATCTTTTCTGAAATCAACTTAATTGTAATTCGTTTGTTTCTTTCTTATTCTCCACCATTCTTTGCGCAGATGAAAGAACCCGGTTCCTGAATTTTGTCTTCCAGTATTACAGCAACTTCTGAGGAAACCGATGATGGATTTTGTAAAGAATTCCGAAAGCATTATCTATTGACGGGAGGCCGGCAAGCTTCTCAGGTGACAATGGATTGGAATCTTAGAAATTCTTTAGCGAATTCTTTACATGTCGGAAAATTGGGGATTCGGTACAGATGGACGTGGATAGAAAATCTGTTTTGGTGTTCATAGTAGATATCTGTTTTAGATTAGTCAGTTTTCACTTTCTCCGACCTGAATGTTTGGTAATAAGCCTAGGAACATATTTATGTATATGTAATTCCAGATGGTTTCTTTTGGGTTTCAATTTATTTAAAGGCGAGAAGGTGATTCCAATTTTGCTCCTTCAATTTTATTTGTGCACTCGGACATGCTGACATGCCCTCTTGTTCGTGGTTCTTGCGAGAGAAACTCGTCTGGCTTTGGCGGTATCCTAAGCCAAACCGTGTTTTGTCATTTGCTAATGGCAATGCATGATTAGCTTAGGATACTGTAACAATTACATCCTCTTTCCTGAAAGTCCTCGTGATTTGCCGGATTCGTAACCATTTTTCGACAATGCAGTACGCAAAGGGGAGTATTCTGGCCAATTTGCCTGACTCGCGTATGCACGACACCATCCGTGTAGCCTTTTTGCCATGATTTTCTGTAATTTTTCTTTGAACGTTCTAGAAAATTATGCTTAAAAAAGCTCCACACTTGAAAATTTATTAGTTTTCACGAATGGAGCAAAAATGCTTGATTTTCCGTTGACATTTGCTTTGAAATACAGAGAAAAGAAGGGATAAGAAAGGAAGGGTTTGTTCGACATTGCCTTTGGATGCTTTAGGCAACGTACAATGTGGTTAGGATTATAAAAACATTTTTTTAGTACTTTTGGGACAAGGTTCTTCGATAAGTACTTCTAAATGCTGTTCCACAAGAAATTGGATTCTTCATGAAGAAAATGGAAGTGTTGTTGCATTCTCGTTTTCACCTCTACACTTCCACGTCCACCCCACCTCAGCCGTACAATTGATCCTAATGACCAGTTTGGCACTCACCCCCTCCTACTCCACTGTGTTCCTAGAGCTATTCTTTCCAGAAACGTCCCCAGTGATCGCAAAGACGAGCGAAGGGATGAGCATTACTATCTGCATTATGACAACCATGCTTTTGATTTGTACTGCAAGCTAGAATTTCCAATTGTTCCCAAGATGAACGAATCAATTCGCGTGGTTGGCATCTGTAATGGGCTGGTGTTCCTTGCAGTTGCAGATGATACACTCACTTTGGCTAACACCTTCATAATATTCAACCCATCTATGAGAAAGTCGGTGACCCTTCCTAAGCCGACAATTGGTCGGTACCGTACTTGTATTGGTTTTGGGTTTGACGCTGTGACTAATGACTACAAAGTTGTGAGATTTGTCACTGATCGTCCGAATACTTTTCATGAGGATTATTCACTTGCTGGAGGCTCATGGAGTAATCCTCGTTCTTTGGATCATGTGTGCGAAGTTATGGATCCTCTCAAATCCCAAGCTTTTGTAAATGGGGCGATTCACTGGGGGGCATGGCGCCGCTTAACAAACAGTTATGAATATATCATTTTGGCATTTGACGTGGGCAGCAATTCATTTCACAGGATCATGGTGCCAATGAGTTTCAGTAACTCATGGACCGCGCAATTGTCTGTTTCAGGTGACGGGAAATCCATTGCTCTGTTCCAGCCTTATTTCATCTGTATTGGAGAGCCTCGTCTTATTGTGAGTTCTTATCCTCCGTTATTGACTGTTTCGTTTTTGTTGTATTTCCTCACTCACTCTGTGTCTACGAAATTGGCAGCCGGGGAAGTGAAGTTTGAAGCAATGGTTAGCAGTTTGCCCAAGGAAATCGTACATGATATCGACTACCTCCTAAAGCTTTGATCAGGTGCACCTCGGTGTGCAAGCCTTGGAACTCCACGATAAAAAAAACCCCCAGCTTTATTCGCACCCATCTCAGTCGTAACATCACTCTTAATAACCAGCTTGGCACCCACCTCCTCCTTCTGCACTGTGTTCGCGGAGACAATCCAGTGCAGCAGAATTAATATTTGCATTATGATAACCCTGGTTTTGATGAGTACTGCAAGCTACAATTTCCAATTGTTCCCAAGCGCAATAGATTCCTTCGCGTGGTCGGCATTTGTAATGGGTTGGTCTTCCTTGCAGATGACAGACTCCATTTAGGTTACACCTTCATAATATTCAACCCGTCGATAAGAAAGTCAGTGACCCTTCCAGAGCCTCACCTTGCCTTCGACACAATTGGCCCGTATTCCGCTCTTGTTGGGTTTGGTTTTGATGCTGTGATCAATGACTACAAGGTTGTGAGACTCCTGACCGATCAATGCGAGGATCCAAATACTTTTTATGAGGTTTATTCACTTGCTAGAGGCTTGTGGAGTAGTCCTCGTTCTTTTGACCCCGTTTGTAAAGTTTTTGATTCTCTCAAATTTCAGACTTTTGTGAACGGGGCTGTTCATTGGCAGGCACGGCGCTGCTTGGACGATGGCCGTTATCAAAATTTCATTTTAGCATTTGATGTGGACAGTGAGTTATTTCACGAGATAAAGGTGCCAAAGAGTTTTAGACAGGATAAACCATTAGATTATCACCTGTCTGTTTCAGGTGATGGAAACTCCATTGCTGTGTTCACGATGCCGCGGGGTCGTAATTGTACTGAGGATTTTCTTGACATATGGGTGATGACAGAGTATGGCATCGAGGATTCATGGGCCAAACTGATAACTCTAAGTCCACCGGATCCAGAAAGCAGGGTGCCCTACAAGCCCTTATGTTTTAGGAAGAGGGGTGAAGTAGTGTTGGTATCGACTGATGACTATGGCAATATGCATGAATTAGTTTCTTTAGACCTTGTGAGCAAACAATTTAAAAATCTTGGGATTCGCGGATATGGATATTACTATGCTGAACCTTATGAGGAGAGCCTCGCCTTACTTGACAATGTCGATGCAGTTTCTTACAGAGGAGCAGATCAGGTAATGTTATATCTAGCATTGGTCTTCCTTTTTGTTTGGATTTTCTTCTTGTTATATATTTACGTCCAAGGTTCCAACTGTGTGTGACATGATATGAGCTTTAACCCCAGAACAAAGTTATATGTGTGTTAATTTGTTACTTGATTTAATTACGCATAGCTTGCTGAAGTGTAATCGTTGACATCATTCATTCGCCCTTCGTGCAGGTAGAAAAAGATGAGGCAGATAGATTTCAAGTCCTTGACGATGCCGTTGTAATGAATGTGCTCAATCTGCTGCTCAGTCATCGTTTATCTTGACTATATCACTTGTATTTTGACGTCGACTAGTAAAAAGACGTCGCATGTGTTGTGCTAGGATAGCACCAAACCCGTTGGAACCAACTCAAGCTAACCCACAGGAAATTTATCAAATGAAAATGCAAGAACAAAATATTAAAGAACACCAAGATTTTAACGAGGTTCCTCAACAGTCAGTGTAACTGGAGTACGTCCTCGGAGCAGTAGGAGCTCACCCAATAATCCACTATCAACCAAATGGGAGTTTACAAAGTGTTGGCAATCTCACAACCCAAATAACCCAATACACCCAATATCTCTCACACACCAAAGAAACAAATAGAAGAAGAAATATAATGAATAAGTTATTCTCTATACATATAGCTCAAAGCTATTACAACAACACCTATTTTGGTGGATGATTACTAACCAAATGAAGCAGCAGCTTCTTCTTCCTTTTGGGCTCTCTGCAGAAAAAAACTCTAACTTCTCTCTGCAGCTCTCTCTTCTCTCTTCAGCTCTCTCAACTGAAAAATGAGAGTTGCATCTCTTTTCTTCTATCCGAAACAAACCTCAATAATTATGGTTAATAAAAAAACCACAAAAGAAAAAAAAACATCATCATGATGTCTCCTCATCATGATGTTTCCTCATCATTTTGTCTTTCTTTTTCTTTTGCTTTTTTTAATAGCCGAAAGTATTGGCCATAATTCAACAATCTCCACCTTGGCCAAATTTCGAAAACACCATGATAAGCCACCAACACAATCAACACAAAAAAAATCACTCCCAAACACTAGCAAGAGAACAACTCATGCCGAGCCAAATGCTCCAAAACTCCTACTACTCAACGCCTTCTTTATATAGGCAAAATGTGAGCCAAGTTCAAACAATGAACAAACTTGGCTACACCAACAACCTTAGTCAACATATCAGCGGGGTTGTCTTTAGTTGGAATCTTCTGGAGAATGATTTCCCCTTCACCAACAATTTCACGAACAAAGTGATAACGCACATCTATGTGCTTGGTCCTCGCATGATGAACCTGATACTTAGCCAAATAAATGGCACTCTGACTATCACAATGTACCTCCACCTGCTTCTGATCAACCCCCAAATCTCTAATCAGCCCATGTATCCAAATGGCCTCCTTTATAGCTTCAGCAACTGCCATATATTCAGCCTCTGTAGTAGACAAGGCAACAGACGACTGCAAAATAGACCTCCAACAAACTGGTCCTTTAGCCATAGTAAACACATAGCCTGTAGTAGACTTCCTACCATCCAGATCACCTGCATAATCTGAATCAACATAACCAACTGCAAAATGACCAATACCAGAGTCATCTCTCTCAAAGCATAAACCAACATCTTGAGTACCATGGAGATACCTCAATATCCACTTAACTGTTTGCCAATGCTCTTTACCTGGATTATGCATATATCGACTCACCATGCCAACTGCATGAGCAATATCCGGTCTAGAGCATACCATTGCATACATCAAACTACCAACCAAATTTGCATATGGTATATTTTTCATTTGCAGCTTCTCTTTATCAGTTTTAGGACACTGTAAAGAACTCAATTTAAAATGAGGAGCCAAAGGGGTACTAACCGGTTTGGTTGAATCATGAACTCCAAATTTCCGAATCAACTTTTCAAGATATTGTCTTTGATTCAAACTGACCAAACCCTTCTCTCTATCTCTAGTGATCTCCATGCCAAGGATCTTCTTCGCTTCACCAAGATCCTTCATCTCAAACTCATTCTTCATTTGCTTCTTCAATTTCTCAATCTCTTCAACATTCTTTGAGGCAATCAACATATCATCAACATATATCAACAAATAAATGAAAGACCCATCTTGCAACTTCTTGAAGTACACAAAATGATCATATTGACTTCTAGAATAATTTTGGCCTCTCATAAATTTATCAAACCTCAAATACCATTGCCTTGGAGATTGCTTCAAGCCATATAGTGATTTCTTCAATTTGCAAAACAAGTTCTCCTTCCCTTTCATTATATACCCATCCGGTTGACA